GAACCCTGTTGCACTACGGATGTACGCTCTTTCATGGGTTTGGCTGGATATTATCAGCGATTCGTCGAGTCATACTCGAAAGTGGCCGCTCCTTTGTCGAGACTTCAGTCCCCGAAGGTGCCCTTCGAGTTCGACGACGCAGCCCATGGCGCGTTCACTACGTTGAAGGCAGCGATGCAAGCCGCACCTGCCCTCCGTATATACGACCCCACCCTACCCACCCAAGTGACTATGGACGCTTCGGGRTACGGTATTGGTGCGGTGTTGGAACAGTGTCACGAGGACGGTCGGCATCCGRTTGAGTATTTCTCCCAAAAGGTGCCTCTCGTCAACACTCTCGACGACGCTAGGAAGAAAGAGCTACTTGCGTTCGTCACCGTTCTCAAACGGTGGCGCCACTTTCTTCTCAGCCGTCGGCGGTTCAAATGGAATACGGACAACAATCCGTTGACCTTTTATAAAACACAGGACACGGTCACTAGCACGATCGGTCGATGGATGTATTACATCGACCAATTCGATTTTGATCCGTGTCACATTCCCGGTCCCGCCAATCAAGCTGCGGACGCCCTCTCACGACGGCCCGACTTTTGTGCCATCGTGACCACGGCATTCGACCTCGATGACGATCTGCAGCAGCATTTCGTCAAAGGCTACAAGTGCGATCCGACTTACTCTACGCTTTACGCAGAGCTTTCATCGGATCACCCGCCGGCTAGCCACTATCGGATTTTCGACGGGTTCCTTCTCCTTCACACRAGAGGAAAGGACTTGTTAGTTGTGCCCCAAGATCGCATCTTATGGACTAGTCTTCTCGGCGAATTCCACGATGCACGACTTTCGGCACACCTTGGCGTGAACCGCACACTAGCACGCCTCCGCCAGCGTTTTCACTGGCCCGACGTCCTTCATGACGTCAYGAGGTACATTGAGTCATGTGCAGTTTGCCACCGAAACAAGGGTCGATCTCGAGTCCCCTTCGGCGAACTGAAACCGTTGCCGATTCCCCGAGCACCACGCCTCTCCATTGCTATGGACGTGACAGGCCCGTTTCCCCGCGATCGCCACGGCCATGACGGTATTCTCACGGTCATTGACCGTTTGAGCAAGTATGCTCGCTTCCTTCCTTGCAAGTATCATGTTGCAGCACCTGAGCTCGCACGACTCTTGCACACCGGTTGGATTACCAACTAGGGTGTTCCGGAAGATATAGTGAGCGACCGAGATACTCGCTTCATGTCAGCCTTTTGGACTTCTCTCATGACGGAGTCCGACACGACAATGAAGCCGAGCTCGACTCGGCACCCGCAGACGGATGGTCAAACGGAGCGAGCGCACCAGACCGCTCTGATGATGTTGCGTACGCTCATCCGTCCCGACCAGAAAGATTGGGTTGACCGGCTTCCYGACATCGAGTTCGCCTACAACACTTCGGTGCACCCGGCGATCTGCGTCACACCATTCGAGCTACATCATGGTGGAGAGAAAGCACGGATCTTCGCTGATCTCCTTTTGCCACAGGATGCCGACATAGACGTCCCTTGCTCTCCCGCTTCTGTCAGGAAGTATCGGGACTTGCTGATCAAAGCCCGCACAAACATGCAAAAAACTCAGATCCGCATGCAACAACAAGCTAACCGACGTCGACTTCCATGTCCTTTCTGCGAGGGAGACCTTGTTTGGGTCCTCTCCGAGGAATTTGCGCTCGAGCAGGATGTTTCGTCCAAACTCCTTCCCAAATGGTTCGAACCATGGGAAGTCACTTCTGCCGTTGGAGACGACCCCGCAGGTCCTTCCTTCGTGATCAACATTCCACCGCACCTGACACTGCATCGGGTCTTCCAYGCATCGAAGCTGGCCATCTACACGCCACCTTCAGCTGACGAGTTCCCCGGACGTCGATCACAGGATCCGCCTTCTATGGACGGACATCAGGAAGTTGACCGAGTCATCACGCACCGCAAGCATGGCAACAAGCCAAGGCAGTACAAAGTCACATTTAAGCAATGTGCGCCTGATGACACTCGGTGGATCTCCAGTACAGATTTGCAGACTTCTGCACCCCTCATATTCGCCGACTACGAGAAGCGACGCCTTGCTAAGGATGCAGCTCGTCCCGCCCGACCCACCCCGGTAGCGGACAGACAACTTCGCCCTCGCAGGTAGCTCGGTCTTTTAAGAGGGGGAGTGTGTTACATCTTCGACGCACACGGGTCCTACCGGACCCGACTTAGGGCCGGAGGGACACATCAAGGCCTAAAGGCCCGACGTTGGGGGTACTACAGGCCATAAAGGCCTCACCTTGGACCAGACCCGGCGGGCAGGCCCAAACGACATTACCGTTTGGGCCTGGCAGCGCTCTTGAGGCTGTCGCCCGCCGGTTGGGGCTGAACCGTCCGTCTGGACGGTTCAGGGCATGGCCAGGCCTCGCAGCATTGAGGCCGGCCTCTGCCCCACCGGTATGAAGTACCGGTACAGCCTCACTTGGAGGCATCGACCTACCGGCAGTCTACCGGTACGGTATGGTACAGCGCGACACAGCGCTGACGCTAAGATCAGCGCAGGAGCAGCGAGGATCAGCGCAGGGCAGATTAGCGCAGCAGCAGCGGCGACTGGGTTACCGGCGGCCATAGCCGCCTGAGGTATTGGGAGTTGGAGGCTTCTCTCCTCCCTCCCATCGCCAGTCCCCTCTCTCTCTCTCTCCTCCTCGGCTCCTTCTCCTTCTTCTTCTTCTTCAGATGGAAGACTTATGCTAGTTGGACAGAGATCAGAGTTGGACTTCGGTGGTATGAGACCGTGGTACTCACCAGATTGGAGACTTGGAGATTGTTGGGGTTGATACTTGGCGACATCACAGTTCAGACACCGGTTACATTTGGACTCTGTATCCCCGACATTGGTGACCTATTGTCCTCGACATTTTGATCTTGTTGGATGACATTGTGGACTACCATATCGGTGACCTATCAGATTCTATCTCGGTGACTTTCGGTGGTGTACCTCCCCCACCTCTTCGTCTCTCCTCCCCCATTCATCTGTGTATGTGTGTACGGGGCTGAGCATCTTCTATGTATGGCTCAGACCCCCACCACCTCACGATTGTATGTGTGTGGAGTGATGCTATGTGAGTCAATCTATGTGAGTCAGTCTATGTGAGTCAGTCCGCTTATCAGACTTCCGTTGCATCTATACTCATCCTACATTGGTTGATTCTTGGTTCTGCCCATACTCATTGGAGTATGTAACAGCTGGCATGCCCTCCATGACCTCTATTGCGCAGCAGCAGAACCAAGGACTTGCGGCAAAGCATGCGTGTTGTAATCCCAGCGGGTTGGCATGGTGACCGTGACCCGAGTGCTTCATCCAGGGCCCTTCAGAGGCATCGCCCGTCTCCCACCAGGTTGCTGCCTTGGAAGAATGTCGACTCTAAAGGTTGAGCGCTCGCGACACCTCACATTGAGAGGACTCTCAAGACAAGACTCACTTCCTCACGGTAAGAAGCACTGAAGAGGGTAGGTAAGGAAGGACGCAACGTACCTCATAATGCTGGCCCCAACCACAGATTTCTCACCGGCAACCTGATGTGCATTTATGATGACCGGTCTTTGCCTCGGCACAGCCAACACCAGAATGTAGTCCCACCTCGGCTTAAATGCCACATCAACGAGCTCTCATCATCCAGCGTACAGCCCTAATGTCACCACATAGCTTCTTGGCGTGCCCACACGACCCTGGGCCGCCTTACGTTCAACGCCCAAGCCTTATCACTGCCCCACACCTCATGCGAAGCACCGAACATCTATTGCGAAGAACCAACGAGCGCAGTTTGAGCCAGGTCCGATACCAAATTGCAAGGAAAATGAACAGAAGCGAGATGACAATATTCAGATTGCACCATCACATTGAAAGCCAAATCGTAACATAGTGTTCAGGAAGCAGCATTTCCACCAATATAACACCAATGGAGAATCGTAGCACTGAAAGTCGAATGTCAATGAGAGCTTGCTCTCGCCACCACCTAGATATGTGTCCAGTTTCTATCTCCCTACTTGGCGCTCGGCGCCCAGGCTACTCCCTACACAGCTACTACTGGCCTACTAATTGACAATGCAACTGTTGACGTCAGCAGCACCCAAAGTACTTGAAGATGTCGCTCATGCAGAACCATCACCAATACCAGGCATGTGCCCTCACATCATCATCATCATCATCCTTCTCTCTCTCCCTTGCCTCTCTCCCACTTCTCCCTTTGTTGTATGCCCGAAGACCACCCCTGCGCCTCACTGTTCATCCAAGCCCTGTCAGCTATGGAGCCTGGGCTATGGCGCTGCCCTCAACAGCGCCCTGCTTCCTGCACGACCGCACATGCCTGCACCTCGCCGCTCAGCGCTAGCAGCAGCGCACGAGCTTTAGCTCTAGCAACACTGCCGCCAGCATGCGAGTGCCCGAATGGCTCGCCAGGCAGCGAGCTCTTTCCTATATGGAAAGAGCCTGCATCATTTGGCAGCCTGGGTGGACTGGCCTGGGCCCAGAAGCTTCCGGTAGGCCCCAGGATGCTGCACCTCTGGTGCAGCTACTGGGCCTCATTCGGTTGGGCCTCCCAACTGTCTGTGTACAAGGCTGTAAATCTCGGCCATGGCCTGTGCTTTCGGAAAGGCAAGGCCTAGGATTTCCACGCTGCTCGGCCTGTGTTTCCCTTCAACCAACTGGCGCGACGAAACCGCCTGGACCCCAAATGCGAAATTGACAGCCAAGGGCCTCTCGTGATTTGTTAGGCCCGCCTTCACTTGGGGCGGGCACATATGCTGCAGGGGGCCCCTTAGGCCTGCCGAGGACCCCTATCCTCGCACAGTCTTCTAAAATCAAAGAAAGAAAGGGCAAAAAATATATATATTATCTGCATATGTAAAGAAAACAAAAGAAAGAAAAAAAGAAGTTCAGGAGCAGTTGAGGTATAATGACATTGGGGCACCTGGCTCATGGACAACAGACTAAGGCGCGGCACCTTACATCCTGTGTGACCTGAATACCCAGCTACGCGCCCCGTGGGCCCGTGCTAAATAGCACGAATTCAGGGCAGACTGAACATGCTGGGTACATCTAAAAGGGCCTTTACGAATTAGACCCCAGATGAATGCCCAACAGTGAGGGGACCTGTCGGCCAGAAGTTAAATTCACGAGCAGCAACCCAAAAGACAAAGTTCCTGAGGTAAATGTCACATCCATAATGAAGTGAAAAGTCATTTTGAAAGGTCACAAACAGGTCCTGAACGAACAGGTATTGGATAATTGGACACAATTTTCAAGACTGACTTAGGGTCATGTCTCCTCGATGAAAAGACATGTCTGTTCGGCAACGAGTCAAAGGCTACAGTCCCAGTCCCACAAGTCAGTCCTGATTCAGACCAGGAGTCCAAAAGACAGGCCCGATGGCCCAAAGCAGCAGCAGACCATGGGAAAAGATACTGGGGCACACACTTTGCAACAATTGGTACTGGGCAGGAGTCCCAGGCACATTTGAGACTGAATGCAGGCCACGCCAGACCAGTCCAGCACTATACAGGACTGGCCAGCCTCCCATTTGACAGATGCTCACTTCGCATGAGAGTGTGGAAGTGCCATGGCACTTGTGCGCTGGATGTGTGTGAGCTGCGCTAGGCTGTGAGCAGCGCTACGTGAAAGAAGAGAAGAAGGGCGCTGGCTGGAAGGAAGGCAGCCATAGCTGCGCCAGTGCTAGTTAGTATACTAGTAGAGATAGTTAGTAGGAGACACCAGTGAGTAGTATTCAAAGTAGATCCTCATGTGATAGGGAGTGTGCATGCATGATGAGTGGGAGTAGACCAGGACAATAGACATAGAGGGAGAGAGAGAAGAAGGTAGACGAGAGAGGGGGAGGTGTGAGCTATGGTGACACTTAACTGTTGAGCGCTGTTGTTGACATTTGGCAGCTGACGCTGACGAGCGCCAGGCTTGGAACTCGTGTTGATCGAATAAGACTTGTAACTCTGTTCAGCGCTATACATTTTGGACTCACGAATTTCCTCTCTTAATCTGGTTCTGATAATTGAGTTGAGCTTCCTGGATCTCATTCATCTTCTATTGGGTTTTGTGTGAGACATCGCAATCTGGGAAATCTGTGTAAATGCATGTGATCTGAAGCACTCCAGCAAGTGTTACAGTTGGGTTCCTTGCACATCATATGTCGAAAAGATAACCATCCATCCAACTCCAACACAGAGGTGACCAGTTTGATGGCTTCAAATATAGATTATAAAATATGATAGTTAATTACAGATTATGTAGATATCATCAAACAGAACTGCCTAGTAAACAGTAGCCAGACAGGGAGAAGAGGACAACAAACGAGGAGCTGCGACAGACTCTTCTGTTGGAGTTTCACCAACTCATCAGGAGGCTGAACCCTGGTAAACAGTACACAGAGAGGGAGAATACATGAATTTACAGAATGTATATATTAGTATATTACAATATTAGAATGTACATAATATTATGCTGTAAAATATAAAATTATAGACAAAGAAATTGAATGAATGTGAATATAAAGTATACAATTATTACAATATATTGTCACATCACTACAAACTAAAAGAGCGCACTTTGCGGAACAAAGAATAAAAGCAAAAAACGGGCACAGTGATAACATGCAAAAATAAAAACAAAAAGAAAAAACAAGGGCAGATTGAAACCATTAAATTTCTCATTCTTCTTTGAACTCCACCTCCACTGTGCCTCTCACGTGCAAGGCTCGCCACGTTGATGAAGTTGAGCGCGAGCTGCCCCCATCCCCGTATGCCATAAC